GCTATCGGCACCAAATATAAGACGCAAGGTTGCCAAATCTAGAGAAGTGGTAACAGCTTCTCCGGCCGCAGCAACCACGATCAACTGGCGGCGCCTGTCGGAGAAAGGGGCAAAGTCTAAACAGGAAAGTGAAACCCATACAACAACACGGGCCAAAGCGTCGATATGTAGCCCAGACACGATCCAGGGGCAAAAGCACATAGTACGCAAAAACAAACAAGGCATTGTAATTAAATGGAAAGGCCGCAGGAGTCACTGAGTGATAAAAGTATTTGCGCGTGGTTGAGGTCGGGCTCGACAGGGGACAGCCAGTCAGATAGTAAAGCGAGTGAGGGTAAGGAGGTCGGGACGGCCGATTCACGAGAGGAGAGTGGCCAAGGTGCGATAGAGGTGACAGCCGGGAGTAAGTTGAGGAGAGGCAGACCCTCAAACGCGGATAAATTGATGCGAGAGAGGAGAGGGAGTGGAGTGAGCGTCGCGTCGGTTGAGTCGTGGCTTTCGAAGAGGACGAGAGAAAGCGAGACAGAGGACAGCGGAGAAGACGGTGAGAAAGGGCGGCAAGAGATAAAGAAGAAAAGGGAATCTGTAAGGAGAGAAAAGGAAAGTCCGGACGACAAGGTTGAGAAGATGGATGAATTTAAGGAAATGATGCAGAAAATGCTGAATGAGATGAAAGAAGACTTGAAGGCTAAGATGGAAGAGAATAAAGAGGAATTAAAGAGAGAATTGCAGAAGCAAAAAGAGGACTATGAAAGAAGAGATATGGCGAGACAACAAGAGATAGAGGAGCTGAAGAAAGAAATATACATGATGAAGAAGAGAGAAGAGATGCGGGAAAGAAGAGAAAAGAAGAAAAATGTAATTATTAGCGGAATTGTGCATAAAGAGGGGGACGCGAAAAAAGTTGCGTGCGAGACAATGAAAGGGTTAGGTGTGAATGTTACGTGTGTGAAAGAGGCTGTGTATGTGGGGAAAGTGGGTGAAAAGAAAATTTTGGTGGAAATGGAGAGTATGGATGAGAAAAGAAATGTGATGATAAAAAAGAGCAAATTGAAAGGGTCGAAGGTGTATATTGATGATGACATGACGAAGTATGAGCGAGATAGGCAAAGAAAAATTAGACAGTGGGCAATGGAGGAAAGAAAGAAAGGTATGAATGTGAGAGTGGGGTATGGCAAAGGGTTCGTAAATGGAAGAGAATTTGTATGGTGTGATGAGAATGAAAGAATGGAAGAGAAAGGTTGGAGGACGGAAAGTATGAATATGTGAAGGGAGAATGATGGCGTGGGGAGAGGGAATAGTGGGTCGAGGGAAAGGAGATTAATTAAGGATGATTGGGGGGAGGAATGTGAGAGGTTGATAGGAAAAGGTAAAAAGAATAAAAAGGGGCAGATGGGGGGGGAGTGAGAAAATGCGGGGGAAAAGGGGGAGTGAGGAATTGGTGAGTTTGGATGTAATGGAGGGAGAGGGGATAAGGGAGAGAGAGAGAATAAGAGGGAATGTAGAGAAGAGAAAAGGCGGGGTAGAAAAAGGGAAGGGGAAGGTAAAGGGGGTTGTATGGAATGTAGCGGGAATTAAGAATAAAGATGCGGATTTTTGGGAGTTTGTCAAGGGATATATATATATATGATGTGATAGGGCTGACAGAAACGTGGCTAGACAGTAAAGATTGGGAGATCTGGAAAGACAAAATGCCAAGCGAATGGAGGTGGAAGTGTCAAGCAGCGAAAAGAGAAAAGAAAAAGGGAAGAGCCAGGGGAGGGATTATTACGGGTGTTAGGAAGGAGATAATAGAAAGAGAGGGGAGAGAAGGGGAGGGGGAAGGGGTACAAGAAAGAGCGTTAGTGTTAGGGAGAGATATATGGAGGGTGGTGGTGGTATATAATAGGGAGGGGAAAAGAGAGTGTCTGGAGGAGATTAGGAAATTGGTGGGAGAGAGGGAGGAAGAAAATTTGTTAGGAGATTTCAATGCTAGGATAGAAAGAGAGGGAGGTTTTGGAAACGAGGAGGAGGAAGGGAAAGTAGTGATATGTGAGAGAAGTTCGAGGGATGGGGTGGTGAGTAGACAAGGAAGGGATTTGTTAGAGTTGGTCGAGGAAAGAGGCTCATCTTGAACGAGAAGAAACGAGGGGACGAAGAGGGGGAGTGGACATTTGAAAAAGCTGAGGGAAAATCAGTGATTGATTTTGGGTTTACTAATTGGGTGGCGTGGGGGAAGATAGATAGCTTTGAGGTGGGGAATAGGATAGAGTCGGACCATCAGCCGTTAGTAGTTGAG